ATATTCTACCTAGGGAATATAAACCCCTTTTTGATGTTACACGATCCTTCTGATTAGCACCGATACTTAGATGTTATTATTCCGCACTAATAGAATGAAGTGAACCATGGATGAAGTAGAGTCGTTCTGATCATCGCAGCGTCATCAGTAAAACAGAGCGGAAGGACCCCCATAGTATTACCAGTAAAACAATACAGACTTGCCTACACTACCCTGCGGTAGATGGCAGACTGAATCTCACAGCACCAGCAGGAAAGCTAAAAAGTTATCTGTATCAGGATCACCAATAGCGTCAGAGGACTAGTTACATAGACTGGAGTCATCTATGTAATAAGTACCCACAGGAAGACATGGCAGACTGGCAACCACAGCAATACCAGTAAGAAGGGAGAATAGTTCGCCCGGCTGGACACAGCATAAAACATGGCGGACTGGTACCCCTGGCCACCATACGACTTAATTCTGGCTTGCGAGGCCGCGAAATCAGATTGTTCCTCCGGCGGGAATGAAACACAAGAGACAGTTCAGATACAGCTGCGACTAATCAAGTGACAAAAGGGAGCCATTTTACCAAGGTATGGACCTTTTTTCCGTAGTTTATCGCGCTCTTGCTTTCCACCTCCATTAGCACCTCGTGTTTTCATCTCAATATTTCGTGACCCGGGCAAGAGCCTTAACATGTTGTAAAATTGGAAGTGGTTCCTCTTCGAGTCCTCTTTGATTTGCAGAAAATTAACTTACCTCGATAGACTGATAAGTTTCCCGCAACTTTAAAACTAGGCTCATCCTTTAGTTCACAATCTAATTTCCTACCTAGATCCTACCGTTTACCCGTAATTGAAATGTATCCATTAATCGCTTGGCCGTGGAAGGTCTGGGTACGAGGCTACCTGTTAAATAAAAAAATAGTCACAACCTAAATTATGGTTGTTTTGCTCTTTGGTGCCAATTTTATATTCTCACTTTACACTAGGCAGTTGAATCAGTCAAACAAACAGTTGCTGTGAATTATGGTGAGCCACCATGAAGCAAGATACTTTAGGTTATTTTCCTTTTTCACCACAGGCTTTCTTACTTCGGAAAAGGAAAACAGCCTGCAGTGTAATAAGGTTGTAAAACATATGAATTACCCTGAGCAGTCATTCACTAATGGCAGGCTCTACAAAACATAGTTAACTATCGTACGATGCAGTTTTCCTTTTTCCTTTTTTTTCAATCAGGGAACTCGGACCTGTCAAAGTTCAAGCGTCGACAAAGGAGGAACTAGTCTTCCATTCAACCTCTGTGTGACTGCAAGAAAGTTCAGAAAGAGAAGAGAAAAACTATCAATTTAAGCACAAAGTACACATCGCAAGTTATGGCATTCTGTTTAACGGTGGCTAAGAGGTAAAGCAATCGAGACATAATTTGTCGAAAAATTTTTAGATAGAATGGAACATTGGCGACTTTCAGCAAGCAGTCCTTCAGCGGCGACAGAAAGTTGCTCCAAAGGTCTAAAAATTAAGGACGGAATGTCAGATTAACGCAGTGCCTCAACTTTTATTCTTAGGAAAGACACTACTTTCTCCTTTGTCTAATTTGAAATAATTTTATCATAAAACCTAACACACATTTCAAATAAATGATTTGTTAAGTTTACCAAGTTGACCAAGCCGCAATAATACGCAAAAACGCTCTATTGTATCTCAAAGTTCTGGCTGATTACAAAGGATTTACTTTTTAAACAACAGAACCTCTGTAAGTGACCGCTCGAGCCTTTTCTGTCCAGTTTTCTAGCATAGTTCGTGGCGAACACGCAGAATGTCGGAGAAACGAAGATTAGGATAGGAGACGCATACATGAAGGGATTATTAAAAGTTGCCTGGATCACGACTCTAATTATGAATTGCACAATTTTTTATTGAAAACGAGAGTTCAAAATTTGCCGCATCACTTTGTCTATTTTTATCGGAATCTGAATTGGTTCATGCTTTCAAAACTTTTTCTCTATGAGGTCATGACGTTATGTTAAGAGGAGGAAAGTGGAGGACGCAACTTGTCAGAATTAAAAAAAGGTCATGAGATCATTGTGCAGTACAGGATTTTTCCAAAAAATATTGTTTTCCTATTTCCTCATGAATAATGAAAAGCTCTTAGGGTGTGTGCTGCGTGTAGCGGGGGGGAGGGTGAGGTGTCGTAGGGAGAAGAGGGGGGGAGGGGGGGCAGGAAATTTCAGTTTTAATATAAGTTGTCATTCTTGGACATGGATCATATGGATTATTTAACCGATCCGGCAAACTGTGAGCTCTTGTTTCCAAATGGCACCCTTAAGTCGATTATGGTCCTAAATTACACGTGCAGGCAACTTTTGATAATATTTTATGATTCCTTTAATCATTTTGTTTGCAAAGACTTGCGTAGTTTTCATCAGTTTCATTTGGGCTCGTTTAATTGTGGTCGCTCACAGATTTTACACTCTTTGCTGTTTTCCAGCTCTTTAGTTTTATTATATAACATTCTTGTTAGATGTTTCATCCTTTCTATCCGATTACTATTTACGTTACCTGTTACTGAAGTCATTAAGTAAGTAGTTAAGTGATACACAGGTTTGCACGTAATTCGGTGGATAACACAACAACGATCTTCCAATTACCTATGAATGCGACCAAGACAAATTAATACATAGATCATCGGAAAACATTGAATTCTTCTTGGCCTACTGCAACAGCGGAGTTTAATCTAATTACTAATATCAACTGCAAAATGACACTAAAAAACTACACGAAGAATTCTTTTTTTTTCCTAGCTATATTTTAAATAAGTTAATTCTAAGTTTTATTAGGATGGAAATAAATTTGATACGTTTACACCATTGCTGGCTAAGCGTTTCCTAAAGGAAGACAGAACTGTTCTCAGGAATGACATTTTAATAAAGATTTTATCGTGTTGTTGTTGTTGTTGTTGTTTGCCAACAGATCTTACTGAATATTAATTTTCTGAATGAAAGGGGGTTAAAATTTATTCTCAACCCGAAAATTCGCCTACAATCTTAGTGTCTGCTACCATTCTGACAGGGTGACCTCAGTTTGGGGAACACGTTCAAGAATAACTTGTGTGATGTGGTTTTTTACAATTCTCTACTTAAAATAATTGCGGCAACTAGTTTTTTTTTTCTATTATTTGCGAAATTCTGTTCTTATAAAGATACTCAGGCTTAAGGACTAAGGTGCCTTGGGAAAATGAGATTACATTTCTGGATGTATGGAATCGACTGGTTCTTTCAAATGAAGTTTTTCGAATAAGTCCCCTCCACAAAGGTCACCCTGTCGCGAAGGTAACAGACACGAAGGTTCTAGAAACATTTTTGAGTCGGGAATAAAAATTATAAAATAATTCAAATAGTACGCGCGCTCTGATTGGCCATAAAACCATTTTACACGAGCGTATGTAAACACGGTTTTCGTTCCTCTTTCATTAGTTATTTTATAAAACAAATGTAAAATGGTTTGGCATTTTTTTTTCATTCTAAGTAAAAACAAGTTTTACATCTGAATACGCGACGTGCACGAATGTTTTGGTAAGGGTGAAAGTGTCATCTTTAAATATCAAAAGAGACCATTTCTTGCTTGTCCTTACAAAAAAATGAGGGAAAATTAGACAAGGGTGAAAAAAATTGTTGGCTTCTCAAGGTGGGTAAATGATCGCCATGCTGAACTATCCTCCTTTCTTTTTTCTTGGCGATATTTACCAAAGGAAAATAATTAAGACCTATATATTTGATTAAGGGAATTTTCCATTGTCAACTCGACCAGGGTTATGCAAATCGTATTGAAAACTGCCCTGCAGGAGAGATGATAAACACTGACGAAAAATTCTGAATTGGTCAAGCAGAGATCACACTGACAGAACAAAATTGTAGGACAATTATGATATAAGAAAATAAAAGAGACTTTTAATACACCGCTGTGGAAGGAAGATCGTTACATACACAGTTGGTGGATATTATTTATTTTGAAAGATCTGCGCTATATTGTGGTTTGTTTCAAGTGACCAAGAATCCCCTACCTTACGAACCTTTTTTTTTGCTCCGTTTTGCCTTTTATAACGAAGTGTTATAACGCCCTACCAAACACTCAAGTTTTTTAAATCTCAATTCTAATAATACGATATTAGATTTCTCTTCTCAAAAGGTAATTTTGTATTACTTCAAGTAAATAGCAAGTTTTACATCTGAACGCGTGGTGTGCAGGGATGTTTTTGGTTAGGGCGAAAGTGTCTTCTTTAAATATCAAAAGAGACCATTTCTTGCTTGTCCTTACAGAAAGGAAAATTAGAAAAGGGGAGGAAACCGAGAGAAAAAATTATTGGCTTCTTTAGAGTGGGTAAATGATCTCCATTCTGAACTCTACCTCCGTCTTCTTTCTTGGCGACAACAATCGGGAACACATTCGAGAATCTCTTGTATGATGTGGTTTATTTAACATTCTCTACTAAAAATAAATATTACTATGGCACAACTAGTTCTTTGTTTGTATTCTTGGCGTAATTCTTCTTTTACAAAGACACTCGGGACTTAAGGACTAAGGAACCTTGGGAAAATTTCAAGATTGCATTTCTGGATGTATTAAACCTGTGTGGAGATAGATACTTCTGGAACCGACTGGTTCTTTCAAATAAGTTATTTTCGAATACGTCCCCCTGAACAGAGGTCCCCTTGTCACGAGGGTAGCAGACACAAAGGTTATAGCAAAATTTTTGAGTCAGGAATAAAGTTTTTGTACCTTTATTCAGAAAAATCAATATTCAGTTTAAATCTTTATTCTACTTTTTCCCTCTATAAATGGCTGTCTAAGTGTATGCAAACGTCAAATTCTAAAATTTTATTTAGCTTTTTTCTCTTTATTAACCCGTTAACCCCGAAGAGTGACCAACATTTTACTTCTCCTTACAATATCACCCTTGAATCAAACATTAGGGTCACAAGAATAAAGGAAATGATCACTAACTGATGAGAGTATTCTTCACTTGATGAATTTCTTAATACTGCAATGGCCCACGTAACCCTTACACTCGTCATCCCCAAATGTAGCTGCGTAAACCCGGGCTGAGTTCTGGGCCTGTCCTCTAGAAAGACCGACACCGTAGACAACAGAGGGACAGCTTATCCCGGGAGGTGTGCGGCGTGTGTTACAGCGAGCGTAGTAGCTGTTTTTCACAAGCTTTACTCCGAGTTTGGCTGCGATTCTAAGAAACCAGGCGACTGGAACAGCTTCAGTATCGTCAAGTACAGTTGTAAAAAGAACCAGAACGAGAAGAAGAACAATTGAACGGAGTTTCATGGTTTCTCTGTAACCCTGATGGGGTTGAAAACATGAATATAACTTAAATAGAAGAACTAAAGTTTTTTTTCCTTATCCTTTATCATTGGTGTTCCTTACCTCCCAGGTCTTTTATATAAATTCTTAAATAGTACGATAATAGGTTTCTCTTATTAAAGGCTATTTTTTTTTATTCGAAGTAAAACAAAACAAGTTTTCCATCTGAATACGCGACGTGCAAGGATGTTTTTGGTAAGGGTGAAATCATCTTTAAATATCAAGAGACCATTTCTTACTTGTCCTTACAAAGAAAGGAAAACTCGAAAAGGGGAGGAAACCGAGAGAAAAAATTATTGGCTCCTTTAGGGTGGGTAAATGATCTCCATTCTGAACTCTCCTCGTGTCTTCTTTCTTGGCGTATTTAAACCTTTTTCGTTGAGCCTATTTACTATTACGAAACATTGAGGAAAATCCATTGGATGTTTTGAAGATCTTTAAAAGGCAACTACCTTGAAAGTAGAATATACCCTCGATCCTTTAATGACTCTTTAGATGCGCTGGTGGCGTGATTTGCTCGAGGCTACGCAGGTGTTGTCTCCTCTTAAAACTCGGGTCCCTCCCCTAGATCCGCCTCTGTATTAAATCCGTAGAAAACATAAGAAAAGTTTATTACATGACCAATAAAACAGTTCTAAAAAACAACACAAGCAAAAACATATGAACTAAAGTGGCCTCTTACATAGCATCTGGCAAATCTGGCCCCTGGCCTTCTGGCCCCCTGTCCCCCTCCACTAGTCTAAGCCGCGGCTTTTTTTTAACTTAACTTCCCCTTTTTTTTTCCATTCTTTTTTTCAGCAGCTGTTGGTAGTTTTGTCCCGAGGTTGAACCAAGCAAAGTAATCCATAGTTATTGTTCGTAGTGGTCATATCAATCAATTAATCAAGCAATCAATTTTCTGAGATTTACGAAGAATTTCGTAACGGCTATAAGTAGGCCTTAGAATGCGATGAATTCTTACTGCATCTCCGGCTCCAACATCGAGTTTACTAACCTCTCTTGTACCGTATAAACGTCAGTAGTTGGACGTGTCAAAGCATCTTAACGATCGAGTGAGACAGACTTGGGCGAGCGCCCGGCGGGCCGACTGAGCATAACTGAGCATGCGTTGTTTAACACGCGAGGTTGATTTGCACAGCCCGAAGTCTTATCTCATATGAGAAAGATCGATGATTTTCGGAAGTAAGATGCGGTAAGATTTGCCATTTCAGACTTTTCTGATTGGTTATTCAGACATGGCATGGACTGATAAATTTATTTAAAGCAAGATAAACAACAATAACTTCCAGACATTAAAGCGACGTGTTTTCCAGTAACTTAGGATCGTCAAGTTGTTAGTTAACTTTTAATCAATTTATCAGGATGCTTAGCGATCTTTGGTAGTTTTGAAAGCTCTGGTAGGTAGCGGGTTATGAAAAAAACTTATAACTTTTGATTCAGGTAATTTTTTGAATATGTGAGTAACATTTGATGTTTTCACATGTAACAGGATGATGAAGCTGAAGATGGTCTCAAAAAGGATTGAACTCCACTGTAAGAATTAGGTGGCTAATTTGGAAACTTGAGCACTTAGTAAATACACCTTGGAATGCAATTCTGATGATTACAGTTTGCTGAGGTAATTGAAATGTTAGTCTCCATGCAGGAACCTTCCACTTGACCTGTACAGTCATGTGCTATGGGATAACTTTAGAAAAATGCATTTGTGTTGGCAGAACTATTGTAAATACATTACCACATAGAGACAAAATAAATGAGTTCATGTAACCATGATATTTGGGAAAAGTTATGGTGGTAAATGACCCTTCTTTTACTAGGATGCATAGGGTCTGATGATTGTAAGGTATATCTTTTAACTTTAAAACTTTCAACTTTGTATAAATTGTAGCTTTTTACCATATCTATTTTCTGTACCTGAAGCCCTCAAAAGTTGAAAATAAATTAAATTAATTAAATACACTAGCTCAAGCTTTCATTAATGGAAGGTGTTTCTTACCAATGATCCTACCCAAACTGAACATTGAAATAAGGAATTGGCCACAAGATATGAGAGTTTAAAAGGGTGGGAATCTGAAAAAAACAAGGATCTCCCTTTAATTAGAACTGAAATTAATGGGGGCCCTCTTATTTTAATTCATGTTTTTAATTTGACCTGCCTTCTTCTCTGAAATGTTTAGGGCACATAGATCAAGAGAACATTTTTTTGTATTTTGATGCATGAAAGTTAAATTACCAGTAATTGGCATCCACATAATCACAAAGCAAGAATGTAAAGCTTTAGCTTAATAGGTTAAAAAAAATTAAAATTAGAGAGTTTTGCAGACCATGTCTGACTTTTTATCCTGGCTCTGGATATTTATTCAAATAACATAGTCACTATCAGTTTCATTCACTCTCACTTTCCACTGAACTTGTGGAAAGATGATAACATCATTATTTCTTTAAATGAAGAAAGGAAAGCCTGCCCTCTTACCACTGTAGGGCATCATCAGTACAAACCTAATTTTGGTCTAATTTTTAACTCGTGAATTGCGCGCATGCGCAAGAGCGAGTTATTGAAACGATGTGGGGAATAGCATTCGCTCGCTCGCTCGCTCGATTGGTCAATTCCTGTAAACTTTTTTTCGATTTTAGGCTTTTGAGTGCATTTGATAGTTTTTGGCGAACAATAAGCAAACGTTGTTGCTAAGAATAGTGGTGGGGTGAAAAAGAAGCCAATGATAATCTTAAAAGAGTGTTTTTTTTTCGTTTTAGTTTCAATAAGCGGCGCCAGCGACTGGCAGGCATGCAAGGATTCACACTGAAATAACAGAACAACCTTCGTTTTTCATAAAATTGTAATTCATAATCCTTGAACTTGAAAACAATCCGAAGATTCATTGAAAATATCACTTACAGCGAAGCGCATGGAGTTTACAGATGTTCAAAAGCTTTTTCTGTCATGGCGTGAGATTGACGACAAAGTCGATCATTACGTTTCGTATCATGTGTTTTTCCTGTGTGAAGCAACAAAAGATGCCGGCGACTGACGAAATTACAAGTTAACGCGAAAATCAAATGACACCTAAACAAACAATTTTAGCTACCGATTTTCAGTGAATTTTTAACGAACAATTTTCTTTTAAGTTTCAAGACAATTTGAAGATTCAAAATATGTATTACGTACTAAAATGCGAAAGTTATACACCACAAAATTGATAAATAGGCCTGAAATGAAATTCTATCTTGTTATTGATTATACGTTGCCATGCACGTGACTAAAATCTACCCAGGCGGAGATCCAAAATGACGGTGGCAGTCTTGGCCTAGTTATATCACTCAAAACTCGTTCCCGTTTGTCTCATTTGATGAAGAGGGAATCGTTAATGTTTTCATTAAGACAGTATTGCCTTGATTTTCTAATTTTTACAATGATAGACAGTAAATTTCACTTTTCACCCACATTTACTTCCAACCTTTTCTTTTGAACCAGAAACAAAAATGATATACGTTTAAAACACATGACATCATCCACCCTTGTCAAATGTAATAGCATGATCATTTCAATTGTAATGCCTTCTTATCTCAACGTTACTTTGTTTCTTTGCTACATTAGCGAACACTGAACTACTGCTTGTACTCTAGATACGACAATCAACCACAAAATTCCCTAAACCAGATAACATTAAACATAATCCAAAAAATCATCTGTCAATTCACGAGTTTGCTCACAGAGCACTTTGATTACATGAAGGTGATTGTTCCAGGTAGGCTTACCTTAAAAATAAATATTTGTGAAAATTTCTTGAAACATTGCCAACAGGAGTGATTAGCAAATTATTGATACAGACAAGAGGTCCTATTCCCATATACATCCTCCTCAATCCTGTTAGTTTACTATGGACATGGCATTTCAAACATGGTGTATATGCCACAAGTTTTCTATTTCCCCGACTAACTATTTTGTAATAGTGTTTATATGTTGAGGAAAATGGTTGGGTTGAAATATAATACAAAGACTTGCCAGTAGATAGTCAGACGAAAACTTTTTACATATAAATAAAATGTATTATTGCGTTTCATGTTAACATGTCGAAAACAACTCCACCTCCCAGTAAATTCAATTATTTGCAAACATATGAAAATAGCATCTAAAACTTTTCAACCTATTTAATGTAGCCAATAACAACATCAACTCAACTTCCAAACTTAAGAGAAAACTTGATTGATGTTTGGAATTGATTTCTGTGATGTAAAATTATTATTAGCTAAAAGTTTTCTTAAAGACGCCCACATTACATGCAGTTACAGCCGAGGTTATCGAATTAAATAACAGAAAAAATCTCAAAAAGACGTCGTTTATTTCCAGCCAGAGGACAATCATGAAACATGAATAGCGAAAAGCGAAAAAGTTTTAAAAAATTACACAAGGTTCAAATACGAGTTGAAAATGACTTTTTTTTAATTTTCTACGCTAAACAGAGGAGGTTGAAACGTTGGGGAAAAACGGTGGGGTAAGCAGTCGTACCTGGCAACTACAAGAGAAAATATAAAAAAAGCCCAAACGATTCTGGCGTATTGTTTTACTTACTCACTGCACGTATACACCTCAATCCACCGGTAATGTCTTAACGCAAAGTGGTTTACTGTCGTTTCTTTCAATTTTGGCTCATTTTCCCAAACCGGAATTATAAGTCACGCCCAACAGAATCTAATTTCAACCGATGCTGACATCATGCACTTCATCTGAAGACGAAAACACTCCCTGTCTTCGAAAATTTGGTGACATTAGAGACATTTAACACCAGGGTTTTCGCATTAACGGCAAACCAGAAACGGCAGTTATAGGTTAGGCGTTTAGCGTTTGACGTTTATGGCTTCTACCGCTTTAGCTACACCTCTCCAACCTCAAGAAAATTTACGTAGAGGCCGCTATATTGAATTTCCAGACAACAGCAGTGTTTGATTTTCAAGTGGCAACAAGA